CTTCCACCTCGCTTCCGCTGCTACCTTTCCTTCCCGCCGTGCGCCCCGAGGCGCGCGGCGGTTTTCCTTCCCGCCGTGCGCCCCGAGGCGCGCGGCGGTTTTCTGCCCGCCGTGCGCCCCGGGGCGCGCGGCGGTTCTTTGCCCGCTGTGCGCCCCGAGGCGCGCGGCGGGCGTCTGCCCTACCTTCGCGGGCGTCCGCCCTACGTCGCGGCCCCGCCCTACGTCGCAGCCCCGCCCTGCGTCGCGGCCCCGCCCCTCGAAGCGGCTCCGCCCTACGTCGCGGCCCCGCCCTACGTCGCGGCCCCGCCCTGCGTCGCGGCCCCGCCCCTCGAAGCGGCCCTGCCCTACGTCGCGGCCCCGCCCGACCGTCGCGGCCCCGCCCTACGTCGCGGCCCCGCCCTATGTCGCGGCCCCGCCCCTCGAAGCGGCCCTGCCCGACCGTCGCGGCCCCGCCCCTCGTCGCGGCCCCGCCCCTCGTCGCGGCCCCGCCCCTTGTCGCGGCCCCGCCCTCCAACCAGGCCCGTGGTGGGCCCATTTCACCACACCGCCTCCCCCCCCCCCCCCCCCCCCCCCCCCCCTCCTCCCCCCCTCCCCCTGCCATTTCCCGTCGCCCGTCGCGGCTCCTTCGGGGGCCGCGAGCTGTGGGGTGGCGGGTATGGGGGTGCTCGGTGTGCCTTCCTCCCTTTGCTCCTCCTCCTCCTTCGTCTCCCACTGCTGCAGCTGTCGCTGAGGGGGGTGGTTGTGTGGGAGACTCGGGTTTAGGGTTTAAGGGGGGTGCGTGGGAGTGCAGCTAGCGGTGTAGCAGTGGGTGTGCATCAGGGGGGTGGGACTGTGTGCGGGAGGTTGAGTGGAGGTTGTCAGTTTGTCGTTCGCAGCACCTGTAGTCCGGGGCGCTGTCCCGGTAGCCCAGTCGTAGCCAGCTGTGCCAGCCGCCCGTGGGTCCGTTGCCCGTCCGCCGCTATTTGAGCCGCGGGGCCTGTTACTCCTGTAGTCCGGGCGCTGTCCGGTAGCCGCTGTGCCAGTGTGCCTCCTGTTGCCCGTGTGCCTGCAGCTTCAGCCGTCGCCTCCTATCTCCTCTCCCCTCACTCTCTCTCCTCCTCCTCACTTGCCCGTTGTGACTACCACTAGCTCTGCTCATAATTGTGAACTCTAAACTATCTCTTCTTGAACTTGTGCTCAGAATGTGTGGTGACATTGTGATCCACCCTGAGCTTGTACTGCTTTGCCTGCTCTGCTGATTACACCCCACTTTGGCTATGGGGGTGTGTCAGAATATTATCTTATTTTTCTAGCCTGTAGTGGGGTGCTCTATAGCGAGTACAACCCTTCTAGGGTTTGCTATTTGTATCCTCATTCTTGCTAGTTCAATCCTCTTTCTTCTTCAAACTTTGTCAGTCAGCGCATCGAATCTCTCTGCTGCACACACCATGTCGCGGTAGTTGTTCTAGTTCGCGGCAATCACCTATCGTTGCACTTTCATCTTTAGCCTTTCAGTATACGCTTGGATTTTTTCCCCTATCGGTCAGGTCGGTGATTCAGTTGAAGAGGCTCTCCATCTGCTGCGTGTACTGTGTTACACTGCCGAACTGTTTATGCCGATGAATCTGCTGCCGCGCCTTGTAGCTGGAGTTGATTGGTTCGGAATGTTGAATTAAAGCTTCCCGAAACTGCGTCCATGACCCCTCGCCTCGGATCTTAATGCTGTTGTAAATCCACGCGAGCGCTGGGCCTCGTAACAGTGTCGCTGCGAGCCGAATCCGCATTGCATCGTGTGTCAGGGTCGTACAGCCAACGGCCTCGAAAAAATTTCGAGAGTCGCAATGAATCGACAAACGTCAATGTCTCTCGCATTCGGTTTGAACGTCTCCGGTAGCGTCGGACGTGCCGCCTCAAGATTCATTGTAGCTGCTGCCGCTGCTGCTGGGTGAAGTGTCGGTGTAGCCGCTGCTACTACTGGCGTCGCTGCTGCATTCGTCGTTGCGTTCGTTGCTGCCGTGGCGGCTGCCGACTGGTTCGCAAGAAGCTCCTCTATTCGCTGGAGTGCCGCTTGCGTCTGGTCCAGGCCGGTGTGTAACTCCGTAATTTTTCGTACGGAGTTATCACCATTTTCCTCCATTTGGTGATTGACGGGAAGATTTGCGACGAAAATAATTGAATTCTAGGCACTGGTCATCTTACTCTGAGTCGAATTGACTGTAGAAATGACGAGCGTTGATTCTGTAGGTCTCGTAATCCCCCTTTATTCGAAATTCGCGTCCGATCTCGGCCGTTGAGAAGAAATTCGATCCGACGCTTCAAATTCCAACGCATTTGGGCAAAATTCTCAGGGCCGTTGAGATTCGAATCGATCCGACGGTCGAAATTCCAAACTTTTCGCCACTGGACCTGAGGAGTGTTCGAAAACCGGTTCGAGGGGGACGTTAGAAAATAGCGCGGAACTGGTTTACGTACCCGAAATCAGCGCCTTTCCGTCGTCGCCCCCGCGGTTTTAAAAACTAGGTTTTAGCGGTCGCATAACTTCGCGTGCAAACAGGCTCTGAATACCAAGTGTGAGGATCTAGGATCGAGCTCAGAAAAGAGAACTTGAATTGAATCAGCACCTGGGTACAACACGAGGCTTATGTAGGCTCGATACAAGGCCTAGTAACCAGGTGTTACGCAAAGGTTCCGTGGGTCGCGAAGCGTCCCGAACAGATCCTTTCCGAATTCGCTAGAAGGTAATTCGGTGTCAGCCGGAAGGCCAAAATTCGGTGCACGCAACCTAGCTCGGTGCTATAACTATAATAAAATATAGGAAAGCACATAGCCTAGGAAATCAAGCAATTCATGCATGCATATAATTATCATATGCTAGAAATAGCATAATAAAGTAAAGGCAAGCAAGAATAGCTAGCATAAGCCGTCGTACTCTCATAGAATGTCAGCATGAAAAGTCAGCATGAACTGTCAGCCTGAACTGTCAGCATGAAATGTCCGCATGAAATTTCAGCATGAAATGTCAGCATGAAATGTCAGGATGAAATGTCCGCATGAAATTTCAGCATGAAATGTCAGCATGAAATGTCAGCATGAAAAGTCAGCATGAACTGTCAGCGTGAACTGTCAGCATGAATTGTCACCATGAACTGTCACCATGAACTGTCAACATGAACTGTCAGCATGAACTGTCAACATGAACTGTCAGCATGAAATATCAGCATGAAATGTCAGCATGAAATGTCAGCATGAAACGTCAGCATCAAATGTCAGCATGGAATGGCAGCATGAACTGTCAGTATGAACTGTGAGCATGAACTATCAGCATGAAATGTCAGCATGAACTATCAGCATGAAATGTCAGCATAAACTGCCAGCATGAAATGTCAGCATGAACACTCAGCATGAACTGTCAGCATGAAAAATCAGCATGAAATGTCTGCATGAAATGTCGGCATGAGATGTCAGCATGAGATCTCAGCATGAAAAGTTAGCATGAAACGTCACCCGAATCCCTCCGAGGACCCCCTTTCGCCCCTGCGGGTTTTCCTCGGAGGGATTTTCGTTTTCCCGCAGTCGCCTAGCGCGGCACGCGAGGGGCGGGAGCCACCCCCCCCCCCCTCCCGCCCGAAAACGGGCACCCCCAGCTGGCGCCAGCTGCCGATGACGCCAGCAGCCCGCGACCTCGAGCTGGCAGTGGTCCCCCTCCTAACCGAGCCCAACCCCTCGCTCGGTTCATGGACAGGTTCCGTCCGGTAACCCACCCATTCCTCGCCAAACGACGCATCGCCGACGGAACCAGTCCGCGAAATTTCGCCGGCCAGACGAAAGCGACGCCCATCTGCGCCGCGCTCCACCGCTCTCGCCCTAGACGGGCCCGTTTCGTTCAAGCCGCTCGATCTTGGTGACGTGTCGAAGGCCCCCTCCCGAACCTTGGAAGGGGCCTTTCAGCTGCATGCAAGGCGGCCCACCCCATGCTACCAACTACCAGGTTTCACGTCGAGGCCAATAGGGCCCCGCCAGCCTCCGCGAAGAGCTCCTCCCTCCTCCTCCCGCGTCTCGGAACGCGCCTTGCCTCCTCGCCCTTGAACCCCCCTGGTCCGTCGCGGTGGGAGGGATGGCAAACAGCTAATACCCTGCGTCCGGTCTCATTTTGTTGCTGTTTCTGATTTTTACTTCCCTACTTCCTAGTCCCTGCTAGTTCCCAACTCCCCTGCGCGCCCGCCCTCTCCACTGCTAGGCCTGACATGGCTACGGGCCCCGCCTACGTACCCGTCATGAACGAGGCGACGGTTCGACGCGCCTCATCCTTAGTGCAGGCGGGGTCGAGGTGGAGGTGTACGAGGACCAGCTGAATGCGATTAGAGAGGCGCCGAAAGGGGAGCTCGACGAGAGCATGATGGTCGCGGGCGTCGTGTACATGTCCTGTCGAACATTTCCGGTTTGCCATGTTTCGGTTTACCTATCGCTGACGTTGCCTTAGCTTTCCGTGCAGCCTGTTCTGTCATTAGCTGCTGTCCGTCGAGTAGCTCCCCAAGGTGTCGATCGTGACTCCGGCGCGTGCGCGTGAAGAGATGGCCCATCCCACCCCGGTCGCTTTTGCGAACAACCACCTCGACGGCCTCCTCGGCAAGCAAGTGGTTTTCGTTCTGCTGCGGACACTGTGAGTTCGACACTCTCCCGTCGCCTTGCGTGCTCCGTCTTTAGCTCTGAACCCGTTCTCACGTGCATTGGCTCTGCATGCAGACTGAGTGTGCCTCCGTTCTCCCACTCGAGCCTGTATGTGGTATCGCGCCCCGACGATCTGCTGGCTCCGAGGCACCGTGGCAGTCGAACTCGAATGATGCACTTCGATTCGAAAGACAAGTTTCCCGATATGAACCACCAATCTTCTCTGGCGCGAGAAGCTTTCGTGTGAGTGACACCTTTGCCACCCTGCTGTCGAGCTGTTGTTCTCGACAATCTTACTCTTGTGTCCGCTGCGTTGCAGGTGGATGAAGAAGCAGCTTCGCGCCGAGTACCCGATGACCCACCAGGCTCTGACCAAGGACGACCAAGAAGTGTTGAACGTGATGGACCTTCGTCTGGAGTTGAACGAGGATTTCGACCATCTGGTAAGCTTTCCTTAGACCACCAACGTTTTCGTCGAGCATGTGTTTTGTCGCTTACGTATGTTTTGTACCCGTTGCAGACGACGACGACCTTGTCGAGCCCCTATGAAAACGGCGCGGCAGCTCGTGTCGTGCACGGGGTGCACCGGATTCTGTCGAAATGGGACGAATTCATCCTACAGCCTCGAAAGGGCAAACTCGTGCCTCTAGGGAGAACGAACCCTGGCCCGGGTGTGCTTCCGTTGTTCATGGTCAAGCTGTTTTTGAGAAAGATCGACCAGCTGGCGGAGGGAGCAGGTGTGGGAGGGGGTGCCGACCACGAGGGAGGAGGCGAGAAGACGGGACGCGTCGTGATTGAGTACAGCGTTGAGGAGGAGGAGGAGATCGAGGAGGATACATCGAGGCAGGCTCAGCACGGGGCGAGCGGCCCGGGCGGCGATGCGAACCAGGACGAGGACTCGAGCTCGGGATCGAGCTCCGGCTCAAGCTCGAGCGATGAGTCGGTCGAGGACGACGGCGAGGGCGCCGAACATAGAACGGAGCGTACGGGGGAGCACGGAGTGGCGCTCGGGGAGCGGGTGGACGAGCGAGTAGAGCTTATCGAGCAACAGGCGACAGGGGAAACTAAGGCTGTCGAGGAGCAGGAGGGCGGAGCGGCTGCGCAGGAGGGTGGGGTCGGAGGGCAGCAGCAGGTGGTGGGCGAGGCAGCTGCGCAGGAGGGCGGGGCAGGAGGGCAGCAGCAGGAGGGCGTGGCGGCTGCGCAGGAGGGTGGGGCAGGAGTGCAGCAGCAGGAGTTTAGGGTTGCGGCTGCGCGGGTGGGTGGGTCGGGAGGGCAGGAGCAGGAGGACGGGGAGGCTGCTGAGGAGTATCGTCGAGGAGATGAGCGACAGGCTGCCGTAACAAGGAGTCACCGCACGGCCAGTGGCAGCGGACACGGGGCCCTTCGACCGGGTGGCCTTCGACAGCAGGCCAATCGACAGCGAACGTTGCACCCGGAGGCCAGGTCGTCGAGATACTGCAGAGGGTCAAGAAGGTCGAGGCGTCGCAGAAGCAGCTCGTCGCCGATGTATTTGCGAAACACACTGAGCAAGCCGGAGTATTCAACAGGCTTGCTGCGGATTTTCGGACGGCGTGGAATACGATTTCGGAGTCGTCGAAGAGCACACTGTCGCAGTGCGCCGAGGCTGTGAAGGGTGTCATGGCGGAGAGGAATCTGTTGGAAGGGGCACGGGCGAAGATCGACGAGATGAGCGGGAAGATCAGCGAGGGGGTGGCAGCCGCCATCACAAAAGCGAGCGAGGACACCGTCGAGAAGCAGCTCAAGCAGGTCGAGGAGCGGCTGGTTGCTGCGGTGCTGAAGGGTTTCGAGAAAGCCATCATGGAGGACATGTTTTGCTCCACCCTCCCACCCGAGACCATGAAGGAGCTGAAGGACATTGTGAGGGAAGGCTACCATGAAGCCAAAGCAGGGAGGCTGGAAGTCCTCACCGAAGCGATGGCGAGAGGTTTTCAGCGCTCGGCGGGCCCGTCGACGAGGTCGCGTCAGGAGGGTGTGGGAGGGGTTCGCAGCGGGGCTGAGGCTCGAGGTCACGAGCGGTCGGTTCCTCCGTCTTCTTTGGTGGGAGGACATGTCGGCAGCCCGGTTGGATCCCCACCGGCGCGTGGCCGTCATCCCGTCGCCAAGCCTGTCGAGGAAGTCATCGTACTCGACCAGTCAGCCCTCCCGAAGACCTCCGTAGTGGCTCCGATCGATCCACCTGATGCGTTTGCTTTGATGCGGGACATGCTGCAAGGCCTGGGGAAAACGGGTGGGAAAGGAGTGGTCGCGGGGGAGAAAAGTGGTGCCCCGAACGAGCACGTCACCTCGACCGGGAACAGAGCCCTAGGAATGCGAGGTGCCTCTACCCCGTCAGGCGGCGGTGCGGGGAAAGGAGCGGGAGAAGCAAGCGATGGTTTGCTGTCGAAGACTAAAGCGGCATCAGCTGCACACGGCGGTGGTGCTGGCCTTGCTGTCGGGCTTGTGGGAAATTGGGCGTCTTCATCAACCCCTCCAGTTGCTCCTGACGCCGCTGCTCCGTCCCTAGGCAACGTTTGCCTTAGCGATCCGGGCTCCCCTTCAACGTCGAAGAAGAAGCCGGCTGCGACGAAGTTGTCGAAGCGCGCTGCACACACGACAGAGAGCCTTGACGTGGTGGAGCTGGCCAGCGTCCCTGGTCAGGCGCCTATCGAGAAGACCTCTATTGTCGTTGCTGCTCGACAGGAAAAGGCGAAGAAGGCCAGGGTCACGGGTCACACCCCACCTCCTCGACCGGACGACCAAGGCAAGACGAGAGGCTGCAAACGTCCCTTCAAAGGACCGGGTTTCGGGTTGCGGAAGGGGAAGCTGGTTTCCGAGCAGACCGTCGGCGGGAGGAAGCGGTTCCTTGGCACTTTTGAAACAGAGAAGGACTAGAAGTTATGTACGGCCGTCTGCTGGCGCGTGTACTTCCCCGACGTTGTCCTTACGGAGTACGAAGGGTACACGGCGCAGGATGAGGACTGGAAGGTCTACCTCGATGCGGCCGCAGAAATGCCAACCGGCGTTTGGAGCGTGGCGCAAGAACAAGGGGAATGTCGTTTCGACGAGTAAGTCCTGTCGAAGTCATGTTGCTAGACTCTGCTGTCAAATTCCTGCTGTTTTGGTGATTTGTCGAACACCTGCTGTTTTGCGGTGAATGTGCTGTCGGTCAAATTCTGGCCTCTTGACTAACGCATTTCTTGCGATGTGCAGTTACCCGTCGCTGTTGGCGACGGCAAAAAAGGAAGTGAAAGCTGGAACCGAGAGGGGAATCGCGCTATGCGTGGCGATTGGTAAGGTCGCGACGCTTGGCCTGAAGCACGGGAATCTGATTTACCCGGTCCCGAAGGGCATGGCGACGACACCGCACATGATGGCCATCGCAGCAACTGTGGCGAGCTTGTGGGCGGCCAGCAGGAAGTTGTCGAGGGAGGATATTAAGAAGGATGCCCTAGCTGCCGCAAACGCGGCGATCTACGCCCCGGAGACTGCAAAGAAGGCTTGTGTGGCTGCCATGTCCGCACTCGTGTCCATACTTTTGCACGTCGGCAAGACGTTCCCGGCGAAGCAGTGGCCCGATCACCTGTATTCGTCGGCTGTCAAAGGTCTCGGCTCGACGGACGCCATACTGCTGCAGATGCTGCGCGTGGCAGCACAGGTCTGTACGCAATGGTGTTGCTGTCGAGCTGCTGCCCGCTTGCTGGAGGACGCGGGCTATGGCAGCCTGGCTATGCCAGAAGAAAAGAGCAAGGCGAAGCAGGACGACGAGGATGCAGCTGAGACGGAAACGGGCGGGCAAGGGGAGTAGTCTAGGCGGGCACTTTGCGTGGGGGTGTTTGCTATTCTCGACAGTTGTGCTTGTTGTTTCCAAAGTTTAATCGACAGAATGTACATGCTGCATGGATCTTGACTTTCCGTTTGCGATAATGCTCAGAAGGTTCATACAGGCGAGATGGTCGGTCAGTAATGAGAACCTGCCATGCAATCTCTAGAAGAACACCCTACTCTAGTTTCGCCCCTCGTCATGATTGCCTGTCGAACTTGGGCTCTCGCCCCATGTTTTCATGAACTCTTTCCATTTGTCTTTGAACACGTTCTCGGCCCATTTCGTGGTTCGAAGCTCGACGCGAATGAGCTCCCGCGTGATCCTGAGGCGATCTTTGTCCTTCCGGTTGTCTTCTGCTGTCTCGACTTTGCGCTTCTTCGTGAGCTGCTTCCCCGAATCCTCTTTGAGAACGAGCCCTTCAGCCAGCATGTTGATCGAGTGGTTCGTGACTATTGAGTCAAGCTTATCAATGATCATCGACGTAGCCGCGCTACTGTCGTCGACCCTGAACATCTCGACAGCCCTCATGACAACCTCCATCTTCCGCAATTTCAACTCGACAGCTTTTGGGGTCGGTGGCTTTTCTTTTGGCTGGTCCACCGCAATGGGGGGAACGGTGGGAGGAGTCGGAGTGAACTTGCTGAACTTGACGGCGAAACCCCTCCTGTAAGCGTGTCGAAGACTGTGTCCGTTGTTCAGCGGGCTTGGCCCGTCCCAGTACGACCACGCCTGCCGCACGGTCTCGCAATTGCACCACGGCCACACCACTGCGTCGAAGAATGCTTGGTCGAGCTGGCTGCCCTTGCTCTGTTGAGTGGGCGGTGAATTGAGGGGGTTGCTGTGGTGGCGGGGTGGTTTCTTCGGTCGCCGTCTGCGGCACACTCTCGCTCCCCCCCCACATTCGCAGCTGCGGTTGTCGCGGCGGTAATCTTCAGTGCGTCGAACGCTTTCTGCAGTAGCGCGAGTGCTTCTGCCTTCGCCTCCAACTCCGCTTGCATCGCGCCCTTCTCCCGCTCCAATGACTCGACCTTCTGCTCGAGGCCCTTGATCTTGATTTCTTTTTTCCCACCCTCCTCCTTCTGTAACTTGACCTCTGCGCGAAGTTGCGTGATGAGGTGCTTGGTGTTGAGTTGAAAGGATGCGTCCTGCGCACAAGATCACGAGCGGTAGGTAAGTGGGCTGATGCAATCTGTTCGGATTAAGATTTAGAAGGGCCATCTTACCGAAGCTCTCGACAGCGTGGGGTTGGTCCGCATCTCGATGCCGTAATTGTCGAGCAGGTACACGTCAAGCGCCCATTTTTGGAAATCCATGTCCTTGCACAAACCGGACATCTGTGCATAAGGGTGACGCTCGCAGTCGCAAACAGTCACTTCGTCGAAGGGGTGGTCGTCACAATGGACGTAGTACATCGCAAGATCCTCGGCGATGGGCACTCGGACGGCTTGAAGGGCCTTCAAGAAACTTTTCGCTGCGAAGAACATATGCTCCTTGTCCTACTCGTTGTTCCATTCCATCGCCTGAACAAGAACAAACGTGGTGACATTGAGAGATAGACAGGTAAAACTTGCATTCGATGATCACGCTAAGCGCTCGACGCATCCATACCTCGTCAAGCCACTGCTCCGCCTTTGGAAATATGTGCTCCTCAATAGCCTTCAGGACCTTCGCGGGTACTTCGCTCTTTGATCTTCCAAGGTAATAGTCACCCGGTTCTGTCGTGAAACGCGCTTGCAGCTGGATGGCCCTGCGCGGGATGCCTGTGACGTATGACCTGCGCATCTCGTTCATGTCCCATTGACCCAGCTGCGTGATGTTGTCGAGTTCACAGTTTTTGTCGGCGAGGATCTGTGCCGCAGACCGTCGAAAGACATGTGTGACTTTCGACATGATCCACTCCGCACTTTTCATCGCCCAGGTAACCCATTTGGCATGAGTCGCGTACGGCAACTTGGTCTTGTCCTTGTCGAAGAGGGCGAAGAATAGGTGCTTCTTTGACCAATTTTTCGGGTTGCTGAAACCCAAGGGGGGCACGATCTTATCGTTGTTGTAGTGGAGCGGCACAAGGTCGAAAATGAAATATATCCACATGAACACTGCTCCGAAGCCGCACTGCCGGAAGTCCATGTGTCGAGTCAGGTACAGGTGGCCGAGCTTGTTGTCTTTGATGGTCTTCACAAGAACGTGGATCGACAATTCCCCCTTGCTGTTCGTGATGGGCGGAAGGACGTGAGTGAACATATTGCAGTAGCGGATCTCGCGGATGCTTATCCCCCTGCCCAGCATGTGATGCGCCATCAGGATCATCACCCTCACGGCCAAGGCCCTCCACAGCGACTGACTGGGGTAACTCATCGATGTCAAACATTATATATATGTTGTGGTTGTTTAGGCTACAGTGGGTTAGCCTATAGGGGGTACACAATTCTAGGGTTAGGTACTTGTACTCATTTCACTGTTAGTTCATTCATTCCTGTTCAGTTATTCTAACATGGTATAGAGCAGGTCCTTCCTAGGACCGAAAATTTTTTAGGGCCCACCACTACCTACCTACCTACCTACCTACTTGCGCCCTAGGGCGCCTCGGCTTTGTCACGCCCCTAGAGGCCCCACTTGTCGGCCCCGCGCTAGCCCCGTTCAGGGCCCGTCGGCCCCGCGCTAGCCCCTTTCAGGCCCCGTCGGCCCCGCGCTAGCCCCGTTCAGGCCCCGTCGGCCCCGTTCAGGCCCCGTCGGCCCCGCGCTAGCCCCGTACAGGCCCCGTCGGCCCCGCGCTAGCCCCGTTCAGGCCCCGTCGGCCCCTCGCCCGCTGTCCCTAGAGGCCCCGTCGGCCCCGTTCAGGCCCCGTTGGCCCCGCGCTAGCCCCGTTCAGGCCCCGTAGGCCCCGCGCTAGCCCCTTTCAGGCCCCGATCGGCCCCGCGCTCGCCGACCTCGGGCCCCAAATAGCCCCGCCGACCCAGCGCCCGCCGTCCCTAGAGGCCCCAACCGGCCCCGTGCCCACCGTCCCTAGAGACCCCGAGTGGCCCGTTCCCGCCGCAGCCCGCGACCGAACTGAGCCGCGCGCCCCGAGCCGAGCCGCGCGCCCCGAGCCAAGCCGCGCGACCCAGCCGAACCGCGCGACCCGACCAGAACCGAGCCGCGCCGCCCTGCCCTAACAGATCCGTCCTAACTGCCTCTCCTACTGCTACTGCTGCTATTTCTGCTGTTCCTATGGCTAGCCCACAAGTTCTCGTGTTCGATGCTGAGGGCCGCCCTGTGAAGTTTGACACCTGGCTCGATGACCTGCACCTCTACCTACAGCTCACAGCCAAGGATGACATCTCACTGTACGATCATGCCCTAGGCCATGTCACTGCTCCTGCTGCTACTGCTGACAGCACTGCTCGCTCACAGTGGCAGACTCGTGATGCTCACGCTCGCTTTGCTATTCGCAACTCCCTGCCGATAGACGAACGCGAGCACTTTGGCCAGCACAAGACTGCACAAGCACTGTACACAGCTGTAGTTGCTCGCTACTCCTCACCTGCCTCTGCTGCACTAGGCCGTCTCTCCATCCCCTACCTGTTTCCCCACCTGGCCTCTTTTCACACAGTCGCTGACCTCATCACACACCTCCGTACTAGTGAGGCCCGCTTCCGTGCCGCCATGCCTGCTGAGTTCCTTGCCACGCACCCCCCTCCACTCTGCCTCATTCTCTACCACCTAGTCACCCGCCTCCCTGACACACTGCGTGCTGTCAGGGACCACTTCCTAGCTCGCTGCCCCACTGAGCTCACCATTGCCCTCCTCGAGAAGGAGCTACTTGCAGCCGAGACTAGCATAGTCGCTGTAGGTGCCTCTCATGGCGACCCTCGTACCCCGTTCTTTGAGGGGTGTTCTCCTTCCCCCCTTCTTCCCTCTGTCGCCTCTGCTGCTGCTGTCGACCTTCTTGGTACTGAGAAGGTCGGCGCTGCGTCTGCCTCTAGCGGGCGCCGTAGCGGCAAGGGCAAAGGGGGCAAGGGTGGTGGCGGTGACGGCGGGGGAGGCGGCGGTGGGGGCGGTGGAGGCGGTGGGGGTGGTGGCTCGGCTAGAGGGGCGAGTGGTAGCGGTGGGGGTGGTGGCGGCAGTGGCGGGGGAGGTGGCAGGGGCGGAGGCGGTGGTTGGGGTGGCGGTGGACGAGGCGGCGGCAGAGGTTGGGGTGGTCGAGGAGGTGGCAGCGGTGGTGGTGGCCGTGGAGGCGCTGGCGGTGGCGAGGGCCAGCAGCACACTCCTTCGCCCCATGAGGTCCGTGAGTGGTACTCTCAGCACGGGGGTGGGGGTGGTCTTAGCTGCACGTACGTCATTCGCACTGGTGACCGTACTGGTCAGCAGTCTGGACGACCGCACGCCACACAGCGCTGCTTCGCTCGTCTCGACGACGCTTGGCGTGTTCAGTTCCCTCAGGCCACTGAGCTGCCCCACTGGATTGATCTCCTGAAGAAGGGGATTGATATCTATGCTCTAGACTTTGATGCTATTCTATCTGCCATGTATGTGATGTCTACTAGTGGAGAGGGTGCTGAGTAGTTGTGTGTGCCGCCCGACCCGGGCATTAGGGCCAGTGCGTCTGCCGCTCCAGGTACTCGCGTGTCGGCTACCCCAGGTGCTGGTGAGGCTGCTGCTCTAGGTGCTTGTGTGTCTGCCCCCCTTGGTACTGAGTCGACTGCAGCACTGCACACCTTCACACTGGACTCATGTGCTTCTCGCTGTTTCTTTCGTGAGCGCACTGCCCTTGAGCCGCTTGCTCGGCCAGTTGCTGTCTCCCTTGCTGACCCCTCTGAGGGTCCGGTCATTGCGACCTCTTCCACTGTCCTTCCCTGTCCTGCGGTCCCGTCGGGCACACTGTCAGGTCTCCACCTCCCCTCGTTCTCTACGAACTTGGTGGCAGGATGTGCGCTCCTGGACGGGGGTGTTCACCAGTTCACCCCTGCCTACGAGCGCGTGACACACTGTACGTGTGCTCGTAC